ACTTTAAAGGACCAGCAAGGTAAAAAAAAAAAAAAAAAAGTCATTATGTAAGGATAAAAGGATCAATTCAATTCAACAAGATGATATAACAATTCTAAAAAATATATTCACCTAACTCTGGAGCTTCCAGATTCATAAAGCAGTAACTACCAGACCTAAAAAAAATAAAAAAAAAAAAAATAGATAGAAAGCAACATAATAGTTGAAATGTTAAACATTCCACTGACAGCACTAAACAGATTGTCAAGGCAGAAAGTTAACAAAAAATTGTACTTAAACTTCACTCTGGAACAAATAAATCTAATAGTTTTTTTTACAGAACATTCTACCCAAGAACTGAAGAATTATTCTTGTCAGCATACAGAACAGTTACCAAGAGAGACCCATATTATAATAGGCCACAAAACAAGTCTAAATTAATGGCTTAACAATCAAAATCATATCAAGTATTTTCTCAGACCACAGCAGAATAAAAATAGAAATCAACTTCAAAAGGAACCCTCAAAATTATATAAATATATGTAAACTGAACAATATGCTCCTGAATAATTTTTGAATTAACAGTGAAATCAAGGAGGAAATTTACAAAATCTTCAAAATGAGTAAGAGTGGGGAGAAAAGACAGATACAGGAGACGGGACGGAAGGCAGAAAACCACACTGCCATGTGTTTACCTATGCAACAAATTTGCATGTTCTTCACATGTACCCCAAAACCTAAAATGCAATAAAAAAAAAGAATCACAAAATTTTTGAAAACCACTGAGATACAGCAAAATCAGTGCTAAAAGGAAAGTTCATAGTGCTAAATGCCTACATCAGAAAGTGTCCAGCCTGAGTGACAGAGTGAGACTCTGTCTCAAAAAAGGAAAAAAAAAATCTGTTTTAAAAATATGAATTGAATGTATAGACTACTAGCTAAGTTAACTAAGAGAATAAAAGAAAATTCATAAAAGCTTAATAAGAAAGGAAAATGAAGATATTTTAACCGACAACAGAAATACAAACAATTATTCAAAGCTACTATGAATACCTCTATGCACACATATTAGAAAATCTGGAGAAAATGGATGAGTTTCTGCCACCATACAACCCCCCAAGCTTGAATCAGAAATATAGAAATCCTAAACAGACCAATAAAAAGCAGTGAGATAGAATGAGTAATAAAATTTTAAAAATTGCCATTAAAAAAAAAAGCTCAGGTCCAAATGGATATACAGCTGAATTCTACCAGACACTCTAAAAATTAGTATAAATTCTATGAAAACTATTCCAAAAGATTGAGAGGAAAGGAATGCTTCTTAACTCATTCTATGAAGCCAGTGTCACCCTGATACCAAAGCCAGGAAAATACATGAAAAAGAAAACTACAGGCCAATATTTCTGATGAATACAGATGCAAAAATCCTCAACAAAATACTAAAAAGCTGAATCCAATTGCGCATCAAAAAATAATTTATCATGATCAAAGGGGTTTCATTCCAGGCATTCAGGGATGGTTCAACATATGCAAGACAATGTCATTCACAGCATAAACAGAATTAAAAACAAAAACCACATAATAGTCTCAATAGATGCAGAAAAAACACTCAAAAATATCCAGCATGACTTTATGTTAAATACCCTCAGAAAACTTAGAAATATAAAGAAATTTTCTCAAAATAATAAAATGTGTGTATGATAGACTGAGACTGACAGCCAACATCATACTGAATGGAGAAAAGTTGAAATCATTCTCCTTAAGAATTTTGTTCCAAGGATGTCCACTTTCACCACTTATAGCCAAAATAGCACTGTAAGTCCTAGCCAGAAAAATCAAGCAAGTGAAAGAAATAAAGCGCATCCAAATTGGAAAAGAGCAAGTCAAACTATCTCTGCTAGTGATATGATCTCATACCTACAAAATCCTTAGGACTCCTTCAAAAGACTCCTAGATCTCATAAATGAATTTAGTAAAGTCTCAGCTTACAAAATCAACATACACAAATCAGTAGCAGTGCTATACTAACAATGCTCCAACAAGGACCAAGCTGAGAATCAAGTCATGGACTTAATCACTTTTATAATACACTTGATCTTAGCCAAAAGGTCAGGAAGCCATTAAATCCCTTTTATAATAGACACACACACACACACACACACACACACACACACACACACTTAAGAATATACTTGCTCAAGAAGGTGAAAGACCTCTATAAGGAGAACTACAAAACGCTTGAAGAAAGAAATCATAGATGATAAATAAATGTAAATATATCCCATATTCATGGATTAGAAAAATTAACATCTTGAAAATGACCATACTACCCAAGCAACCTACAGATTTAATGCAATTTCTACAAAATATTATTATTTTTCACAGATTTAGAAAAAAAATCAAACAATAAAAATGATAAATAAAAGCATATAAAAGAATTAAAAATAAAAAATGAATCAATTGATTGATGTAATATATATATATATTAGCATGAAAACAGAAGAACAAAGTTTGTGTTTGCTTCTTCAACAATAATATAGAAATTCATGAAAGACATAACCCACATGAATTAACAGATGTTTATTATAGCATCATGTAAAATATTGAAGACATAAAAGTAGTGTAAATAGCCAGAAACAAAGAAATAATTAAACTATAAAATGTCAAATACACAAGAACATTATATCCTTTTAGAATGTAAATGAGAAAACTACAGATGACTGTATAATATGTCTATTGTAAAATACATCTGCATAAATACTGTAAGGTGAATATGAAATAACAATTATGTATATGAAATTAGAGAAATAAGCCAAAGCTATTTTTATATTAAAATACAGTTAATATTGTCATTGTTTTCTATATTAGTTAATTAAATATGACAAGGTAGCACAATTCAACCTCATACCATCTATAACTGACATCAGTGATGGTTCACTAGTCTGTCTAAAAGATTTTACTTTTACTTTGGCTTATGATGAACTCCCCAACTGCAAGACTGAAAAGCAAAACAAAATAAGGCACACCAAATGGACTTCATTGCTTTGAACTGATTCTGTAATGGATAAGGATTTGAATTTCTCAGAGAGAGTTGCCTTCTTATGTGCTATTCTGACGTCCAGCATAATTGCCTTAGAAAAAATACAGACAAAGATTAAAAAGAAATAAAAACTTCCTTCTGTTTTTATTGCTAAGAATACTAAATTTCTTGTGTAGTTGTATAATAAATCCTAGTAATTCATAGAAAATGCAGCAAAAAGATTTACGCTTTGAGGACTAACAGTAAAAAGATACAGCATAGGGGACAAGCAGTGACTTGTTCAAAAAGTAAGTTCTTTGGAATAATATTGCTGAAATGTCAGAGATCTGTTAATCAATCTTAAGAAACAGCAAATAGAGAAATCTATAAATAATAATATAAATTTCTATAAAAGCAGCCACTGCTCATGAATCATATAAATAATTTCTTATAGTGAAGCAATAACAATAATTTTTAATAATAAGGCCAGCCTAGTCTTTTCCCCTTACCCCCTTACTCATATTATTTGACTTTCATTGTAAGTTATGTGGTTTACAAGGTATGTTAAGTTGTAAGGTCTTTTGTTAAGGTATCAGTGCAATTTTGAATTAAAATAATACATCCAAACCAGAAGTTATGTCTTAAAAATTGTAATGTTGGATAGAAAGTAGTCTCAAGGGCGAAAACAAATGAAAATTGAAACATTTGCAGAAAGCAAACCTTAAAAATTGTCCCGTTAGTATATGCCAAATTCTGATAACTCCTGTTCTTTTATTTCCAGTTGCATTAGGTTGTGGAACAAAGTAATAAAATTCAGTTCTACCTTACATTTAAATTATCAATTAGGAGTTCTTTCTTACAATACAAAAGATTGTTATATGAGCAACACCTCTGGATATCAGTCTACTGCTACTGCTGCTGCAAAGATAGGAAACTTGCTTGTGTGTATCTTGACATTAGTAAAAAATAATCTTTTTAATAATTTGAAGTCTATTATTACATAAGTTGGCAGTTTAAATCATACTACCTAAATGGTCTGAAAATTCTTGTGCAAATAATTACATTATCTAGTTCCACAATAGAAGAACTCTTGAGTAACAGGCAGAGGAAAACACAAAATCCAACTCTAACCTTTACATATTAATAAAACTCTAAATACTATAAACTCAATGTAAATAATAATAATAATGAATACATAGAAACAAAAAAAGACACACAAAAGCCAGAAGAATCAAGCAAATAAATATTTCAAAATTTGACCTTTCTTTTACAGATAATCAAAAATGATATTCTATGTTTTATAATGTAATAAGTAGGCTTGAAAATAAGATATAATAGAACTTCAAGAAGAAAAAAAAAACAAGAAAATCCAAATATCATAAAAATAAGAAATGTAAAATGTAATATTGAAATCCAAAACTAAATAGATAGATTAATCACCACGGTATACACATGAGAAGAGAGAATTACTAAGTTGGAAAAGAAGTGTTTATATTTTGTTCTGTGTAGATGGTGAAATTATATAATATGGAGAAGAGATTTTAAAACATATTGGTTACTGTCACAAAGTCAAATAATATCATTTTCTTTATATTAGGTTGAGCGATATGAATCTAACATTTTTTAAATAAAAATGATTAAATATCAAGGATAGCTTTTTAAAAATATTATTTATTTTTATTAACTAAACCTAAAGAAAATTCCAAATAAACCACTAATTAGTTATTAGAATTAGCAAAATTAGCAAGATTATAAGATAAAAATTGTTAGTTAGTAGACAACTATATATCTACATATCAGCAGCAATCAATACAAGGATATAATTAAATAAATGTACAAATAAAAACAATACAAGCATACATAAAAACACATTTGACAAAAAAAAGGAAGAGTTTTTGTGGATAAGTGTATTGGAAATGTATTGGAAAGTATTAATAAATTTTAGGATAAGTAGAAGAAAATAATAAATATACAACAAATGTTAAGTTCTTTTTATGATAATATGCTCTGATTTCTCTTCGGATTGTATAAATCTTTCGCCTTTTACTAAATATTTCCATGGAGAGGAACAACTCAGAGTTTTAAACTAATTTTTTGACGCTTTGCTTTTTAGCAAGGCTTATACAAATATATATATTAGGTCAATGCAAACTCACTCCAAATTCCAACAGCGTTCCTCCTGGAAGTTCACAAGCATTTTCAGAAATGTATAATAAAGAGCTGGAAATAACATACTCATAAATAAAAAGATAAATAAAGAGGAAACATACACTGTAAGTTTTAAATCATACAATTTTAAATCATTTCTTATAAAGTTTTAAAGCATTTATTTTTAAGTATACAAAGTTTAATACATTGTGGGGTTTTAGAAGAAGCTCGGAACTCTTTTTTTATATGTATTCATGTATATATTAACATATCATAACTTGAAATATCATTGCATGTAATAGCAGATTAGCAGAAAATGATATGTATAATTAAGAAATAAATGCAATCTTATACATAGTGCAAACCATACCCATACAATATACTGTAAGATTTTAGAAGACCTCATGAAAACAGTATCTTATCATATTGGAAAAGAAAAGGAACATTACCTTAGACTAAAAAAAATTAATAAAAATTTTAAAATATAACAGAAACAAAACCAAACTATAATGAAATCGTTTAATTAATTTTACTTCAGTAAAAGAAGAAATTTAATTAATAAAGGAATTCCTAAATAGAATAAGACACATGTTACACAACAGCAAAATATATTGAAACATATGCAACTAATATTAATAATCAAAATATATAAATAAATAATTTCTACAAGCCACTATAAGCAGAAAACATTGACAAAAATATTAATAATCATAATAATAAATAAAGAATTTCTACAAACCACTACAAATAGAAAACACTGAAAAAAAGGAACAAAAATATGAATAAGCATTTCACAGATTGAAAACATTCAAGACAAACGTATGAAAACATTTAAATCCGGGCCGGGCGCGGTGGCTCAAGCCTGTAATCCCAGCACTTTGGGAGGCCGAGGCGGGTGGATCACAAGGTCAAGAGATCGAGACCATCTTGGTCAACATGGTGAAACCCCGTCTCTACTAAAAATACAAAAAAAATAGCTGGGCATGGTGGTGTGTGCCTGTAATCCCAGCTACTCAGGAGGCTGAGGCAGGAGAATTGCCTGAACCCAGGAGGCGGAGGTTGCGGTGAGCCGAGATTGCGCCATTGCACTCCAGCCTGGGTAACAAGAGTGAAAACTCCGTCTCAAAAAAAAAAAAAAAAAAAGAAAGAAAACATTTAAATCCACCATACTGAAGGAAGAAATGAAAGAAGGAAGGGAGGCAGGCAGGCAGGCAGGCAGGCATAGAATGCACACATTCAGCAGATATTGGTAAGGATGTGTAATAATAAGCACTTTTTTTCTATTGCTAGTTGGAATACAAACAAATGTCAACTATGAAAAAGAGTTTTACATTATCTAGTAAAATCCACATATTCTAATTTTCAGTCATTCTACTTTTAGTCATTTACTTAAATGTTCTCACCATGTGCTTGAAGGACAAGTACATGAAAGTTTAAAGCAGTATTGTTCACATAACAATGAATTTTAACTGGCCAAATATTTACTAATAGTAAAATAAATTACTTTTGTTGTATTTGTACAACATCTTGTGACATACACAATTTTTAATAGTTGAAAAAGAAATGACACAGTTTTTTAAAAAGAAAGATTGATTTTGAAGATTCACTCTTGAATGAAAAATCAAATTTCAAAAGAATGCTTAATGTCTCATTTCAGTTACATAAAATGACCTAAGGCAAAATTAAATAATATGACAATTAAGAATACAGATATATATTAAAAATGAAGGATTAATTAACACAGAATTGCAGATAATGTTCCTACTTGTATGGAGGAGGTAGACAACGAACAAACAACACACAGCTGACTTGCGAGGCACTGGTAACTTCATTTCTTACTCTGGCTGGTGGGAATATATTTTTCATTTAAATATACTCTAAATTATACATACATGCATACATATATAAAATATACTTTTTATAGAGAGTGCTGTATTATTCAACGTATATTTAAATGAGAGAATAAAATCTTATGTCCAAAATTTGGCACCCTCCAACTTTAATTGTCTACCAGAGAACTAGAGCTATGGACACTACTGTGAAAGGAAACTACAAGTGTTCGAGAGAATAGATTCTACATAAAAATGGACTTAGGAATTGCAGAATGGTCTATTACGTCTAGTGACACTGAGGGAGTGAGTATAGTAAAAACAGAATGATTTTAGAGTTCGGAACCCAGAGGTCGTTAAGAGACTTTTATGAATATGAGTGTCTCTCTCTCAAAATCTTCTGTTTGATTCACAGGCTAGTATTCCTGCTGGGTACTAATGCTTTCTTTCCTGGGAAACAGAATAAAAATAAAAATAACCAGAATATAAATACTTCTCCTCCTCTGAATAGAAAGAAAAGCTGTGTCCACCCATTTCCTTCGGTTTTTCAGGCTCCATCGTCCTCTCTTTACTCTTCGTGGCACTGTGTTTCCTTAGTATCTCCCTTTCCTTTGCCTGCTCTTGTGTGGAAGGAAGAGAAGCTCAATTCCATTCATATAGCTCATAGCCATATTTCAGTCAATGATGGACCATGTCTGAAACAGATTATATAATGCAGCATTTTTACTGTAACATATAATAAAATTATGTATACATAATTTTAACAATATATGTAATTTTACTTATGTATACCATAAGATTATAATACTGTATCTTTCTGTGTGTAGAACTACTTACCAGCATTACAATTATCAACAGCAATATACCAGTTTGTGGCTTAGTAGCAGTAGGGTGTGCCATATCACCTAGATGTGTAGTAGGCTATGCCATCTAGATTTGTGTAAGACACCCTGTGATATTTGAACAACAACAAAATCATAGGATACATTTCTCGAAAGGTATCTGGACTTAAGCAATGCATTACTGTACTCACATAGATTCTCTTTACTTGCACCGTTTAAACTTGGGTTCTCCAGAAAGCGGAAAGTCTAATGCCAAAGTTACTGTGTTTTAATTGTATTAGGGAGGACAATTATACGTAAACCACTTTGGGGGGGGGGAATAAATGAGTCAGAAAAGAAGGTCAAATTGATAACAAATAATTTAACAGAGTTTTCAGTTAACTTCTCAGTCTTACAGAAAAATCTTGTTGGAGGGATTATATAATACTCCTCATCTCACAAAAGTTTGTCTGGACAAAAAAGAAGTAAGTATATTACTCGTATAATCTTTTTCCTTAGAGTCAGAGATTTACCTCGACGGATGCTAACTTTCTGGCATATCTAGTACATATAATCACATATGCCAGTATGGCCTGCAGTATCACATGCTTTGACTGCAGAAATCCTCCTGGTAAGAGGCTAATGGAAGGCAAAAGATGAGAGGGAAAAGCCCTGGTCATGGGACAAGTCGTACTGACTTGTGCTGACTTGAAATCAGTGAACATACCTGTAGAGTTGATTGCTGAAGTGATGACTGGAGTAAAAAAAAAAAACTGTCTCAGTAAGATGAGAAGCTGAGAATATGAAAGATGGTAAAGAAATGTCTGCATGGGACATGCCATAATCACTCGGATTGTTGGCTTGCTTGTTCGTAGAAATCTGGGCTTGATGGTTACTTAGGGCCAAGTTTCTAAACTGATCTTCTCTCTTCCTTATCTCTCTTACCTCTACACACAAACTGACACACACACACATACACACGCACACACATACACACATATACACTAATACACACACACACACAGAGAAAGAGAGTGTGTGTGAGAGGGAGAGATAAATACATTACAGAACTGACTGCAGGTTGAGAAAACACTTTGCTCATGATTTTTGCAATCAGCCTAGTCCCTTGATCTAATTAAAAAAGAATATGGGTGATTTAAATAATTAGATATTAGATTTCTGGTAACCTGAAGTTCACAGACACTGAATTTTTCCAAGGATAGATTTCAGGAAAAAATGTTAATATATGGGAAAATAAATTCAAATTTTTTTCAGAGTATATTTGTTTAAATATTTTGTATACATATGTCAAATTACCTGAAAAAATAGCTGGTAACCTAATAAACTATTTAAAAATGCACCCTTTAGGAGCACCCATGATACATGGCAGCTGTACTTGGTAAGTTGCTACATTTTCCCATTTTAAACATTTTCTAAAGTGGATACATATAATCTTAACAGTTATATTGATCACCTTTTGAATTAAACATAATTCAGTTGTCAAATAACAGTGCAATCTCATGGGGATACCTACAGTTGTAAGTAGTGCCTGAATTTAATTTTACTAGCCAATATCTAATGTGATAAAATTAAAACAACTGTACAATTGACTTTATGTCATCCTTTATATACATTAAAACTTACATTTTTTTCTATGTATTTCTTACCTGATATGCAATTAGTCTATTTAAATAGACATAACCAACATCCCAGATGAGACACAATGCAGACTCTGAGGTTCCATCATTTGAGCACTTACCGCTATGTTTATGAAATATAATTGAAATAGTCAAGTATCTCTGTGAACCTACATACCATATTCAAGGGCTTCTTCCCATGTGTCAGGTGCTTCCTTCCCTTCCTTTTAAACAAAGTATAATGATGGCTGTAGAATGTTTTTCAATTGTGACTTCTTACCTGAGTAAAACACAGATGTATTTTGTAAAACTTTAGATGAAATTTTCTACCAATAATAACAGAATAAAAAAGATGAAGAAAAAATTATTAAGTGTCATACCACATGTGTGTGATTCTTCCTTCTCAAGTGGATTATGTAGAGCTCATGGGAGGTAAGCCAAGTATGGACAAGCCTCACTATGTCCTTTAAGGAATGTAGTTGGATGACTTTAGTTTAGTCACAAGATTCTGAAAGTTATAGAAATTATTTCTGTTTGATTCTTTCCTATATGAAAGAAGGAAGGAAGGAAGGAAGGAAGGAAGGAAGGAAGGAAGGAAAGTGGGAGAGAGAGAGAGAGAGAGAGAGAGAGAAGAGGAGAGGGGAAGGGAAGAGAAGCGGGAAGGGAGAGGAGGAGAGGGGAAGGG